GGGACATCGTTGCTGAGAGAAGGAACCCTAGAACTCGAATTCAAGGAGATTGAACGTCAAAAAGGTAATATCTTCACCCTTTAATTGATTCTAGCATTGGTTTGATGATTATAAACCCTAGTGCATGAGATATGAGTTGATGAGTTTGATAGAAAAGCATGAACGATTATAGGGTTGGGGTGTTGAGTGTTGATTATTGGTTAAGAGTGTTGTTTACCTTATGGGTGATGAAGAATAATGTTGATTATAACCATTTGAGACTTTAGAATTTATCTAGGATCAAGAGAATGGCTTGTTGGGTGTAGAAACACCATTAATAAGGACCATGAAGCTTTATGTCACCAAGTGTTTGAGAAAATGTTTAAGTGACTAAAACATGAGAATTTATGCTAATATGGAATCCCTTTGACTTGTATTGATATAGATTAAAGTTGAAAGGGTTGGCGAAGGTTGTATTACACTCAAGAGCAGGAAGTTAAGGTATGTGAGGCTAACTCTTTATGTTTGGGAATTTTAATGATTCTCCTTACACTACGTTTCTTTTACGACGTTACCAATTGCCTCAGAAATATAGTTAAGCCTAGTTCCTTGAATAGTTGTAGAACTTCTATTCTCTAGCTTCATAACTCGCTCATGACTTTATTCTGATGTGTGAGCTCAGTGCGTATTCAATACAGTACTGGGTTTGATGCNTATTTACAGCTCTTTTGTTCAGCTATTTTACATACCAGTACAATTCAAATGTACTGACGCCCCTTTTGCCCGGGGCCTGTATCTCGCGATGCAGGTAACGATTTACAGGTCGACGATTCAGCTTGCTAGGACATCTCGTATCAGCTATTGGTGAGCCCCAGTCTTTCGGGGCCTTATCTCTCTTTTATTTTAGTCATTATAGTATTTCAGTTAATAAGGTATACCGGGGACCTTGTCCCGGTAAACAGTTGGCATTTTCAGTATTCTTTAGAGGCTTCGTAGACTATAACCTAGTCAGTCAGATATTAGCAGGCTTTCATGTGTTAGCCTTGTCGGCTACTTGTTTATACTTGCAGACCTTTCAGTATTTTTCCGCATCTATGATATTTCAATCAGACTTTTTAGCAGACTATCATGATTTACATTTACCTCTAGCTCATAGTTATACCACATGTTGATCCAGCCATACAGTTGGTTCGCTCGGTCGCATGCAGTCAGGCACCGAGTGTCGTGTTACGCTCAGGCCATAGTTCGGGGTGTGACAAAGCTTGGTATCAGAGCCCTAGGTTCAAGAGTCCTAGGGAGTCTATGAAGTCGTGTCCAGTGGGGTCTCTTTTATGTGTGTGTGCGCGCCACACATGTAAACAGTTGACCACCAAGACATCTAGGATTGTTCCATTTCTTTTATACTCTAGATCGTGCAGTTAGAGTTATGCTTTCAGGAATCTTTCTAACCCGTGTGAATTGCGTAATTCAGAAAAATGCATGCAAAAAGAAAGTACACCAGGAGGGCCTCAGCTACTAGCCAGGGGGCCACAGCTAATGCTGCTCAGGAGGAGGACACTCCGGCCCAGGGGGTTGCACCGGGTTCAGTGCCCAGTGCTTCAGACATGGATGTAAGGGGAGCTATCCAGTTGCTCATCCAGATTGTTGCTACCCAGGCTCAAAGGCAGGGGACCAGTGGTGTTCATGAGACGGGTAGTTCCAGGTCTAGGGAATTCCTCAACATGAAACCTCCCGTCTTCACAGGCTCCAAAAAGGATGAGGATCCGCAGAACTTCATTGATGAGGTTCAGAAGATATTTCAAGTTAAGGATTCAGATGCTCAGATCCCCACTCTCTAGTCGGTACCTATTGCGAATGAGTTTCCAGAAGTGTTTCCCGAAGATCTCCCTGGAATCCCTCCCGATAGAGAGATTGACTTTGGAATTGATCTACTTCCAGGCACTAAGCCGATATCTATTCCGCCTTACAGAATGGCTCCAGCAGAGTTGAAAGAGCTAAAAGTCCAGTTGAAAGATCTTCTAGATAAGGGATTTATAAGGCCAAGTGTCTCACCTTGGGGCGCACCAGTCTTGTTTGTCCGAAAGAAGGATGGGTCTTTGCGTATGTGCATTGACTATCGTCAGTTGAATAAAGTCACCATCAAGAACAAGTACCCTCTTCCCAGAATAGATGATTTATTTGATCAACTTCAGGGTGCCCAGTGTTATTCCAAGATTGACCTCAGATCGGGATACCATCAGTTGAAGGTTAAGGAAGTCGATATTCCAAAAACAGCTTTTAGGACTCGATATGGGCATTTCGAATTTTTGGTAATGTCATTTGGTTTAACGAATGCACCAGCAGCTTTCATGGACCTGATGAATAGGGTCTTCAAGCCTTATCTTGATTTGTTTGTTATCGTGTTTATTGATGACATCTTGATTTATTCCCGTAGCGAGACTGACCATGCCGAACAGGCTATATGCAAAATTTTCTAAGTGTGAATTCTGGTTGAAATCAGTAGCATTTTTGGGCCATGTCATCTCAGGGGAAGGCGTGAAGGTGGACTCTCAGAAAATAGAGGCAGTGAAGAATTGGCCTAGACCTACCTCAGTATCCGATATAAGAAGTTTCTTGGGTCTAGCAGGCTATTACAGGCGTTTTGTAGAGGGATTTTCTTCTATCTCATCCCCTTTAACTAGATTAACTCAGAAGAAAGTCAAGTTTCAATGGTCCGACGCGTGCGAGAAAAGTTTTGAGGAGCTAAAGAAGAGGTTGACTTCAGCTCCAGTCCTGACACTACCAAAAGGAACCGAGGGGTTCGTTGTTTATTGTGATGCTTCAGGGGTTGGTCTTGGGTGTGTATTAATGCAGCACGGTAAAGTCATAGCTGCGTCGAGACAACTCAAGGCTCATGAGAAGAATTATCCGACTCATGATCTTGAATTAGCAGTTGTGGTGTTTGCGCTCAAGATCTGACGCCATTATTTGTATGGGGTACATGTTGACATTTTTACAGATCACAAGAGCCTCCAGTACATCTTCAAGCAAAGAGAATTAAATCTACGTCAGAGAAGGTGGCTCGAATTACTTAAAGATTATGATGTTGATATCCTCTATCATCCAGGAAAAGCAAATGTTGTAGCCGATGCTCTCAGTCGGCGTTCTATGGGCAGCTTAGCTCATGTTGAGGCAGACAAGCAAGCTATGGTGAAGGAAGTCCACCGCTTAGCAAGTCTAGGAGTTCGACTTTTGGACTCCGAAGATGGTGGCGTTGTTCTCCAGAACAGGGCTGAATCCTCCTTAGTAGCTGAAGTGAAGGAAAAACAGTTCAGTGATCCCTACTTATTGCAGCTGAAGGAGGGAATTCACAAACACAAGACTATGGCTTTTGAACAAGGGGGAGATGATGGTACCTTGAGATACAGAGGCAGACTATGTGTTCCAAACGTAGATGGGCTCAGAGAGAGGATTATGTCAGAAGCCCACAATTCTAGGTATTCTATTCACCCCGGTTCCACAAAGATGTATCACGATCTTAAGGAGGTTTATTGGTGGAACGATATGAAAAAGAATATAGCAGATTTCGTGGCTAAGTGTCCAAATTGCCAGCAGGTGAAAGTCAAACACCAGAGGCCTGGCGGTTTAACTCAGAATATAGAAATTCCCATTTGGAAATGGGAGATGATAAACATGGACTTCATAACCGGTCTACCTCGCTCGTTCCGGAAGCATGATTCGATTTGGGTGATTGTAGATCGACTTACCAAGTCAGCTCACTTCTTGCCAGTAAAGGCTACAGATTCGGCCGAGGATTATGCCAAGTTGTATATCAAAGAAATTGTCCGATTGCATGGGACTCCCTTGTCCATTATCTCAGATCATGGTGCGCAGTTCACAGCAAACTTTTGGAAATCCTTTTAGAAGGGATTGGGCACAAGGGTGGTGAACCTCAGCACCGCTTTTCACCCTCAGACAGATGGACAGGCGGAACGCACCATTCAGACTCTGGAGGATATGTTGAGGGCGTGTGTTATTGATTTTAAAGGTAGTTGGGACGATTATCTACCTCTCATTGAGTTTGCTTACAATAAAAGCTATCACTCTAGTATCAAGATGGCACCGTACGAAGCTTTGTATGGGCGAAGGTGCAGATCACCAATTGGTTGGTTCGAAGTCGGAGAAACGGAGTTGTTAGGACCCGATTTGGTCTATCAGGCTATGGAGAAAGTCAACTTAATACAAAGGCATTTGAAGACGGCTCAAAGTCGCCAAAAGTCCTATTCGGACGTGCGGCGTAGGGACTTAGAGTTCCAAGTTGATGATTGGGTGTTTTTGAAAGTATCGCCCATGAAAGGCGTTATGAGATTTGGGAAGAAGGGGAAACTTAGTCCCCGCTATATTGGTCCATATAGAATCCTGCGAAGGATCGGACATGTGGCTTATGAGTTGGAATTGCCACAAGAACTAGCTGCCGTACACCCAGTGTTCCATGTGTCCATGTTGAAGAAATTCGTGGGAGACCCGTCACTTGTGGTTCCTACAGAGGTTATAGGGGTTAAAGACAGCCTATCTTATGAAGAAATTCCAGTAGCTATTCTTGATCGTCAAATTCGCAAGCTCAGAACTACGGAAATTACTTCAATAAAAGTGCTTTGGAGGAATCAAAAGATTGAAGAGGCTACATGGGAAGCCGAGGAGGACATGAAGTCCAGATATCCCCATCTCTTTGAAGGGCAAAAGGAAAATGTGGAAGGTAATTGACCTTTCCATTCAGTTCTTATATTATAATCTCCATGTTCTTCAGTATTTACTCAGCTTAGTATTTAGTGATCACGTGCTCATTCAGTTGGATACACATGTATTCATGATATTTCAATATTCGCATATCATCATCACACCCGTTTAATGTCCATAGATAGTCATAGTTGCAACCAGGACCATCATTCGAGGACGAATGATCCCAAGGGGGAGATAATGTAACACCCCATAAATTCGGCTTAGGTGTGAATGTGGTAAATGAGTGGTAAGGTTATATTTTGAACATGTGAAGTCCCAAAGGGATGATTGTGGGTAAAATAGTTGTTTCAAAAATCAAAATGGAAAGAGAGGTGCATAAGATTTGACAAAAATCGACTAAGTTGCAGAAGGTCTGCCTTCCATCAAGTTATAGTGAAAATTTGTAAGGAATTAGGGAAAACGCAAAGCATGAAAGTTGTAGGCCTTTGAAATATCTTTCCAATGATATATTATGGAGCCCGAACGGACTCTGTGCAAAAAGTTATGTGCATTTTTCGGAACAGTACGCGTATGCGCGAACACTCGCGCGAACAAGCCTCCAGGTGCGCGAACTCGCGCGTGGGAGGCAGTGTTACTGCCGTTGAGCGCAAACTCTTGCGTGAACAAGCCTCCAGGTGCACGAACTCACGCGTGGGGGGTCGTTTTAAAGCTATATTTCGTCCCCCACAGCCCCAAAACATAAAAACTTGCTCTAGAAAGGGGAAGTCTCAAAAACCTAACTCCTTAAGGGTCCTTCCACCACCCAAGGTAAGTTCTAATGGTGATTCTAAGTTAATTTCACTTTTCCAACATCTTATTAACATGGGTAAACCCTCCATAGCATTAGATATTCGATTGGGACATCATTGTTGAGAGAAGGAAGCCTAGAACTCGAAAATCAAGGGTTTGAACTTCGAAAAGGTAATGTCTTCACCCTCTAATTGATTCTAGCATTGGTTTAATGATTATAAATCCTAGTTCATGAGACATGAGTTGTTGGGGTTGATAGAAAAGCATGAACGATTATAGGGTTGGGGTGTTGAGTGTTGATTATTGGTTAAGAGTGTTGTTTTCCTTATGGGTGATGAAGAATAATGTTGGTGTAATCATTTGAGACCTTAGAATTTATCTAGGAACAAGAGAATAGGTTGTTGGGTGTAGAGACACTATTAATAAGGACTATGAAGCTTTATTTTTATCAAGTGTTTGACAAAATACTTAAGTGACCAAAACATGAGCATTATAGCTAATGTGGAATCCCTTTGACTTGTATTGCTATAGATTGAAGTTGAAAGGATTGACAAACGTTGTATTACGCTCAAGAGCAGGAAGTTAAGGTATGTAAGGCTAACTCTTTATGTTTGGGAATGTCTATGATTCTCCCTACGTCCTATTCATTATGATCATTACCAGTCTCCTCAGAAAGGAACTATGCCTTAGTTCCCTGATCAGTAGTAGGACTTCTATTCTCTAGATGGCATAGTCTCATAATCATTCGATATTCTATGAGTTTCAGTTATGACAAATCAACTTGTTATGAATACTCATCTCAGTCTAATCCTATTCACTATTCCAGTATCATGTAACCCAGTATGGCTCATTGTTTCAGTATCATGTATTGTAATATGATTCTCAGTTCCTGATTTTATATTCTTGAATGTTGAACACCTGTATTTGGGCCTGAGGCCGCAGTTTATGCTTTATGCATCTTTGGGCCTGAGGCCGCAGTTATGTATACGTATACTTGGGCCCGAGGCCGCAGTTGTGCACATATATATATATATATATTATATATAGGGCCTGAGGCCGCAGTTTAATATTCAGTTAAACAGGTTGTTCATCATTCAAAAGAGGGAGTATTCACATCCTTACTTCCTTGTTCAGTTATCAGTTTATCAGCTACAGTTCAATTTCAGTTTCAGTATTTACAGTTCTTTTGTTCAGCTATTTTACATACCAGTACAATTCAAATGTACTGACGCCCCTTTTGCGCGGGGCCTGTATCTCGCGATGTAGGTAACAATTTACAGGTCGACGATTCAGCTTGCTAGGACATCTCGTTTCAGCTATTGGTGAGCCCCAGTCTTTCGGGGCCTTATCTCTCTTTTGTTTTTAGTCATTATAGTATTTCAGTTAATAAGGTATACCAGGGACCTTGTCCCGGTAAACAGTTGGCGTTTTCAGTATTCTTTAGAGGCTTCGTAGACTATAACCCAGTCAGTCAAATATTAGCAGGCTTTCATGTGTTAGCCTTGTCGGCTACTTGTTTATACTTGCAGACCTTTCAGTATTTTTCCGCATCTTTGATATTTCAATTAGACTTTTTAGTAGACTATCATGATTTACATTTACCTCTAGCTCATAGTTATACCACATGTTGATCCAGCCATACAGTTGGTTCGCTCGGTCGCATGCAGTCAGGCACTGAGTGCCGTGTTACGCCCAGACCATAGTTCGGGGCGTGACATTTTGAGAATAATATCTATGTAATTACTTAAAATTTATATTCATTGATATAAAATATACATGCATCGCGTATTATTATGTTGTATTTGGATATTTGTTTGCTATATGCATTTTCTTTGCTCGATTATTTCGTTGTCGTTATCTTTTATTATTTGGTGGTGTATACGTACATTTGATTGTATGTAGCATATTAAGTTTATAAGGAATAACAAAAGGATAGAGTTCTAAAGCATATGAGAAAAATTTTAATTGAACCTGAGATGTCAAATTCAATGTATAATTTGTTGTCAATATGTTGGAGTATGTGTGCGCGTCTGTATCATAGTAAAATAACGCCGAGATAATTAGCTGAATTGTTTACCTTTAAAAGTATATTTAATGTTAACTCTAATCACCATAGGATCTGTACGTCATTAAATATTCTTATCCTAAATTTCGGCTATCATGTATTTCGTAGTCAAGTGTTATTGGTCGCAAAGTTGCCTATGAAAGATTTGCTTAAATGTTAACCATTTTTTTCAATTAATTCTTATTTTATCGAATATGCTTTCAATATAAACTTTGTTTGTTATTGGATAAAAAGAATAGGTAGGATAACAATAGCTAAGTGATTTATAACTCAAAAAAGGAGCTTAGAAATGGGATCACCTAAAATTTTATTTCTTTCTATATAACTTTCATATTAACTAACATGGACAAATGCAGATGTTAATATTAAACTGTTCGTCTCACAA